GTGCTGAATGTGCCAATTTCTACTGTTGCATTGAAGAGTGCATTTAGCCAAGCAAGACAACAACTTGGAGACACCCGTCACTCATTGGGAAGCAATGCTTTGGAAGTTTTAGTATGTTTCAGAGATTGGATTAGATCGGAACGAAGAAATCAAGGACGTGAAGATGTTGATAGCCCAGAAGACAAGGAACTTGGAGATATATTAACACATGGTAACCCATCCGAATTTAACACTCCAGAAGAAGGTCAATCAGTTCATATTGATTATGAAAAACTTACTAAGGCAATGCAAAACCTTTGAATTTACTTGTTGCTAAAAATGTACATCTTTCAATTTGTAAGTTTGAATTATAAAATAAATGTAGCACTTGCAACAAATGCATTTTTTTCCCATCTTCCTTGTATTCTTTATGTTAATACTTTGTACTAATATAATCTACAATAGTTATACAAAATTCCAAAAAAATAAATAAAAATACACTAAACCCGGCCCGGCCCGGCCCCCTCAACCCGTAACCTTACGGTTCAATTTTTATACGGATGAACCCGAACCCGTTAAACCCGTTAAGAACCAACCCGAAACCGGTCCGGACCGTAACCCGTACGGATCCAAAAAATAGCGGCCCGGCCCACCCGTTTAACACCTTTAATATTTTGTAAAAGTACTATTCACATGGCGGGTAATATGCAAACTATGAACATATTTGGTAATATAGTTTCCTATATGGTATAGGAACGAAAATTTCCCAAAAATTAATATGGTTGATATTTAAACAGAAGCCCATAAATTCATTTTTTTCACCACCATTGTTAGCTTCATTTGTTTTTCTGAAACCAAATTTTAACTTCATTTATATTATTTGTATATTAGGGAGCAAAAGATATTAATTCCACCAATGGCTTCAATCTGGCAAAATCTTGCAATATTTCCCAACAGGGGTGTGGAGTTAGAAGTCGATGGGTCTGGTTAAATTCAGTAATTTTAGTTTAAATTCTATATTTATATTAATAAATTCATTAAATATATATATAAAAAATTAAATTCATAACTCAATTACTAATAACATATGCCATTATCCTAGAATTTAGAACTCATAAAATTCAAATTTGTCTTCAACTATGCTTTCTAATATAATTTGATACTTCTTCTTTTGTGAAATTTCTTTGAGAATTTCAAACATCAAATTCATAGTAGTGAATCTTTCTTTACATATAATATTATATTTATACTCGTACATTTACTTATGCATCTGATTAAATAATTTAATATTACTAGTTAAAAAATTAAAATTGGAATACATATTATTCTGCATTTATTCGTTTGATGTACAGGCGGAGCTAGAATTTTAAATTTACGGGTTCGAAATTTTAATCGCTAAGTTACTGGGTTCTAAATTAATAATATATACATATTCAATTTATTAACAGAGAGTTCGAACCAAAAGCTACTGGATTTGACCGAACCCGATCTCGATACTCTAGCTCTGTCCTAGTTTGATGTCTTTATCGATCTTTATACGCACATGGGGAGAAAACTCCTTTTCTTTTTTTTTTTTCTTTTGCCCTTCCACCATTAGTTTCTTGCTTTCCTCTTCTCTCATTTGTTTTTGTATTTTCTTTTGTACATTTCTGATTTGGACAGATGAAGGCGGATCCCAAAGATATGGTTGATTGACATTATGACACGGGACCTAATAATTCAGTTCTTTCACCACCATTCTTAACTTCATTTGTCTTCTTCTGAAAACAAACTTCAACTATATATATATTTTATTTTTTGGGTTTCCCTCCGGTATTCGATATCCGTATTGGAGCCCGACTATATCCGGATTCGCGCCGGTTAGGGCTCCATTCAGGGGATATCGCTTCCTATCAAGGATTTTTCCGGGCTCGAACTCGAGACCTCTGATTAATGAAAGAGCAGTCTCATCCGCTGCACCACATTCCTTGGTGGTAACTAAGTTATATATATATACATTGGAGCCCGACTATATTCGGATTCGCGCCGGATTGGGCCCCATTCGGAGGTGATGCTCCCTACCAAGGATTTTTCCATACTCGGAACTCAAACTCGAGACCGAGCGACCATATCCGCTGCACCACATTACCTCTGTGGTGGTAACTAAGTTCTATATATTATTTGCAAGTTAGGAAGCAAAAACACATTAATTTCCAACCATGGCCTCAATTTGGCAAGTTCTTTCACTAGTTGTAATAGTCCTATACATTCTTCAACAATTACACAACAAATTCATGAAAAAGAAAAAGAAACTTCCTCCAGGTCCAAAAGGGTTTCCAATTATTGGAAATCTATTTATGATTGGCAAAAACCTACATCAAGATCTTTATCAAATAGCCAAAAAACATGGTCCTATAATGAGTATGAGATTTGGTCTAGTTCCTATCATTGTTGCTTCATCTCCTCATGCTGCTGAACTATTCTTGAAAAAACATGATCTTGTTTTTGCTAGTAGACCATATAATACAGCTGCTCAATATATTGGATATAATCAAAGAAATCTTACTTTTGGTAAATATGGTCCTTATTGGCGAAATATGCGAAAATTATGTACGTTAGAATTGCTTAGTAGTCTCAAGATCAATTCATTTCAGGCCATGAGAAAACAAGAAATTGGAAATTTTGTGACTTTTCTCAATAGAGCAGCTTCTAATGGTATTGAGGTTGATATTAGTGCTAAACTTGCTTCATTAAGTGCAAATATGGCTTGTTTAATGGTATTTGGGAAGAAATATATGGATGAAGAATTTGATGAAAGGGGTTTTAAAGATGTAATTCAAGAGACATTAGTTATAACTGCAACACCAAATATTGGTGAGTTTTTTCCTTTTCTTGATAGGTTTGATTTGCAGGGATTTGTTCCACGTATGAAAAAATTGGCAAAGATTTTTGATGATTTTTTCGAGAAAATTATTGATGAACATGTTCAAGATTCCAAGAGGGAGAATAAGCAAGCCAAGGATATTGTTGATACTATGATGGCTATTATGCAATCTGGAGAAGCTGAATTCGAGTTCGATCGTCGCCATATCAAAGCTGTTTTGCTGGTAATGTTAATGGCACACTCGTTCATTTAATCTAGTTTTAGTCATTTTGTTTTTCGTGGTAAGGGGAGAATTCAGAATTTAAATTTAGATGGTTCAATCTTTAGATTCATATCATTGATTCAACAAATACTTACTTCACATCCCGCCTTGGTTCTTTGGGAGGTACTTTCGTTCTACTTTACTATAGCAGTTTTAGATCTGCCGGTTGCTCTCTTGCAAGTGCTCACTCCCTCTCCTCGCCCCTCCCCNCCCTCATGCTTTTCCACCCATCGTAAACTCTTACTACCTTTAATATTATCAAGAATATTTAGAACTTATAGCTCTCAATCAAACCTTTGATCTCATGCCAAATTTTACTATTGGGATTTCCTATACAGGCTTGGCCCTCTTAATATGCTTTCTCAAACAAGAAGCCTTTTGTGACTTTTTGGACTTCCGACCTGTCTTGTAGTCATAGTCTTTTAGCTTACGCATTCGTCGACTACACGCATGTAACCGCCAGAATGCCGCCTTGAAAGTGGTTCGGCCATATATATATATATATATATATATATATATATATTATGTAAAAGACTAACTGATAATACGAGGGATAAGGTATAATTAATCCCGAGATTAAAATTGAGATGAGTTTATCCCACGTTTGGTTGGAATAAAATCGCGGTAACTAATCTCAGGATTGTAGTATTATTTTTATCCCAATGGAAAGGTGGGATAATAATCCCGGGATAATTAATCTTGGAATAATTAATCCTGAGATAACTTATTTTCCAACCAAACGACCTCTTACTATGACTTTAATTAGCAACTGAAAAAAAAAAACTCTCTATGCAGGACATGTTAATAGCTTCAATGGACACTGCATCAACAGCAATTGATTGGACTTTCACTGAACTTCTAAGGCATCCTAATGTAATGAAGAAATTACAAAATGAGTTGGAACAAGTAGTTGGCACAAACAGAATGGTGGAAGAATCAGATTTGGAAAAATTAGATTACTTAGATATGGTTGTAAAAGAAGGTTTTAGGCTTCACCCTGTTGCACCACTATTACTTCCTCGTGAATCCATTGAAGATTGTATTGTTGATGGTTTTGATATACCTAAAGGTTCAAGAATTTTAGTAAATACTTGGGCAATTGGAAGAGATCCAGAAGCCTGGCCCGAACCCGAGAAGTTCAAGCCAGAAAGGTTTGTTGGTAGCAACATCGATCTTAGGGGACGTGATTTTCAACTTTTACCATTTGGCTCAGGGAGAAGGAGTTGCCCCGGATTACAATTAGGGCTCACCATTGTTCGCTTGGTGTTAGCGCAATTGGTTCATTGCTTTGATTGGGAACTACCAAATGGTATGGCGCCAGAAGATTTAGATATGACTGAGAAATTTGGTTTAGTTACAGCTAGAGCTCAACATTTAGTTGCTATTCCTACTTATCAATTGCATGTGTAGTTGATGTGAATCTTCCTAGAAGCTTAATTAAGTAAAAATGAAGATCTTTGTCCTCTATATTTTTCATTGTATGACAAAATTTGGTAACATTTACTACATATGGAGCTACCACTAGCAAGTCCGGTCAATTGAACACTTTTCGCTGGATAATAATACTATGTATATATGACTAGGAGCGGATCCATCCTTTAGGGTACGGGTGGTATGACACCCGCTAGGTTGGTAAAATTATTATATATTTATGTAGAAATTTTTTAAACTAGGTTAAATATTTGATCTTGTCACCCCTAATCGCAAACTAGACAAATGTGACATGTATTGTAGGCCTGCTTTTCTCGTGTGTAAAATTCAAGTTCCAATTTATTTTGAACCTTGTCTGACTTTTCTTTTTTGTTGTGCTTTCTATTTCCTTTGTCCCAATCATTTTTCTTTTTGACTACCTTCCAATTTCCTATTTGTCGTTTATTAATTTTTATATTTTTTATCTATTCTATTATTTTATCTGTGATCTATAGCACGAACACTAAAAAAAGAACCTCCAAAATTTAAAAATTCCATAAAATAAGTGTTTCTTATAATCGCAAATCTTTTAGTTTTTTTTTCTTTCAAAATCAGAAAACTCGGTTCTTGGTAGGAATTTGGATTGAGATCAAATTTACCCCGATTCCCGGTAGATCAAACAAAGCGAAGACATGACTACATGGGATCAGAATCAAAGTCGAAACGTCTCGTACCAACATCCGAACGGCGCGGTCGCCACCGGACTTGATAAGACAATACTTCATCCCGAAACAAGCTCCGAGACTTTGGAAAGCACAACAGCAGTTACACACGACTAACAAAGGCCCGTAATATCCGCATCCTATCAGATATCACGGTACAGATCTCGCCCGACATCGGCAACAAATCTGTAATTGACTAGCAAAGAGGATTTTTACCTTTTTTTGAATTGTACTAGGGATGAAACTCTCCTACTATATAAAGGAAAAGCATTTTTCATTTAATACACATTATAACACCCATATCAAAGCAATACAATTTCATTTTTACTGCTCTCTAGATGTAGCAAAGTTGTTTTTTTGCTGTTCATTGTTCATTCTCTATTGGCTCCGAACCGAGGGCCCGGTTGATGGCAAAACTAATGCCCAATCCAAGTTCAAGCGGGCCATAGCATTACAACTGATTTAATTATTTGTTTTATCTTTTATTCATTTATCTAACATCCTTAATTATTTGTATTGAATCAATACATGATTCTTAAAATCGAGTATAAATTTAATTGTTATCCGTATTAAGGGCAAACAATAATATTCTTGAACATCGTAACCGTTTTTTTTTGACTTAGCTATTGGCGTAGGAACGCAACTAGAGTAGATGCGGTGCATTGTGAGTTTGAATGATTTCAATCCATAAATTCGGAAACGAAACTAAGTTTGTTTTCTATTGATCAAAACAAAGTCATTTTCGAACAAATAAGATAAGAATACAAAACAATATATGGAGCCTAAAAATAGAAAAAGGAACGAACTCTCTTCACAAATTTTGTCTTGTTATACATAATAGTAAAGATATTAATATAATATATTAAGCCTCATTCCATCAAAGATACAGAGTACAATCAAACTTCTCTATAACAATCTCGTTTGTTCCGAATATTTTTAAATATTATAGCAAGTGTTGTTATATAGAACATATATTCAGGGGCGGATCCACCCCTTCAAGAAGGGGTGGCATGACACCCGATAAGATGATAAAATTTTTATATACCGATGTTGAGATTTTCTTAAATTAGGTTAATTATCTGGTCTTGCCACCCGCAACCGTAAACTAGACAAAGGTGTCATGGCTGGTAGACCTTTTTGAAAGTTTTTCTTGTGTGTAAAATTCAAGTTGAATTTATCTTGAACCTTGTCTGACTTTCTCTTTTCTTTGTGCTTTTATTACTTTTTGTCCTAGTCATTTCCCTTTTCGTCTACCACCGAATTTTCTATTTGTCGTTTTATTATTATTTTTTTTATATTGTTCTTTTCTCTATTCTATTATTTTGCATGTGACCTCTAGCAAGAACACTCAAAAAAGAGACTAAAACTTTAAAATTATATAAAATAAGCGATCCTCTTAATTAAATTTATGAGTTTTCTTCTTTCAAATCTAAAAAACTTGGGTCTTAATGAGAATTCTGGATTGAGATCAATTTTTTTTCCATCTTTTTTGTTATATCATAAAAGTTTGTGTTATGCGATGGTTGTTAGATATAATATAAATCACTTTATTATAATTTCATAAGCATTACTTAAAAAAATATGTGATTTATGATAAATTGTAGTTTATCTAATTTATGCTTATGGGGTATAATTTATCTATGAAAAATATCATTTTAAATTTTCTTATTCTGATTAAAAACTTGGGTCTTAATGAGAATTCTGGATTGAGATCATTTTTTTTCCATCTTGTTTGTTATATCATAAAAGTTTGTGTTATGCGATGATTGTTAGATATAATTTAAATCACATTATTATAATTTCGTAAGCATTACTTTAAAAAAAAATGTGATTTATGATAAATTATAGTTTATCTAATTTATGCTTATGGGGTATAATTTATTTATGAAAAATATTTTTTAAAATTTTCTTATTCTGATTGATGTAATTCTCTTTCAGATGTTATCTTACTTGTGTAAATTAATTTTTAATATACATAAAAGATGTAATTTTCCAGTGAAAATATTAATTTTACTTATGTTGTTATGATAAAGGCGTGATCCTATTTTAAAATTCTAATCACGTTTTTTTTATATTTGAGATGTAATTTTTAAATTTTGAAATAAAAAAATACCTATTAGTTTGACCCAAATCAACTCAAAAAAATCGATTAAGCGTTTCTAACAAATTTCGTATTAGTCATTACAAAGTATACATTAAAGGAATTATGGCACCCGCCAATTTCAAATCCTAAATCCGTCTCTGCATATATTATAACATAACATGAACATTGATTCCGAAAAACTTGACTTTTATAGTGAAGTATTTTTATATAGATATATTGTTATTGAGAGATCTGACTGTAGCTCTTTCCAAACCATACGTGCTGGATTCTTTGAATTTGAAGGGATCTCTTACGTAACGCTATCAATTTTGACAAAGTTCAAATATACGAAGTTACGGTCCCTTTTTGGCTATGCTAATTATTTTAAACATTTTCTTTAATTACTAGAAGACATCTTAAAAAGGCAATAAAATTAATTGTTAGCTAGTTATGGTCCTACTTACAAAGTTAGGCAATATTAGTTCGGTCAGAGAATGTTTAATTTATGGCTATACTTGCAATATTTACGTTGTTAGTTGTAATTCTTTTCTTAATATTTTCAGTTAAAGAAATGATTTTATTACATTTTCTGAAAATGTTCGAAAATGTATTCTACTTTCTCTGAGTAGAAAATCTCTTGATACGGATGTCATGTCTTATATATATATATATATATATATAAAGAGAGCATATGTAAAAATAGTTCAAATTGAAAGTAATGTATTTAGTTAAACCCGCAGAAGCCGCTTTTGATCTATGTTTACTTGAGGCTAATGGTGTTATGTAATTAATCAGAAAATTTGTGGTGACTTACCTCCTCTCAATCTAGCATAGTATTGACTTACCATGTCTAATTTCTTCGTCATTAGCTAAAAAAATAAAGAGTTCAAACTATATTTAAAGGTGTTTTCTTAGTGTATAGTATCCGCTTTGCGGCTCGACTAATCCAACTTGGTCCCGAGAAGTATGGAGTAGTACTTAATGATTCACTACAACATTTTGGGGGTAAAAAACTGGTTTCTTTTGGGTGTAAATAAACCATTTAAATATATACTTCTGAGAAGTTAACATAAGCTAATGATGAACATACGAGACCAGACGAGCTCGAAGGTAATTGTCAACAGGCGTATTGGCTCTTAAAAAAAGTATTTTTGACTGTGAGCACCTAATTTTTTATCATATTTGAATTTTCATACTTATAAATATTTTAAAGTTTAATTTATATATTTAATCTTTATTTCACCTTTATAGGTTTTACCTAAGAAAATTAAAAATCACAAAAAAGAATTATATTTTTCTAAGTAGCTGCTTTTTTCTTGCAAAGGAACGAAAGGTTTGAAAAAAAAATATTGTTTCCATTTAGTTTAGTCGATTTCTATGTTAGAAATTTCAACCAAATAAATATTGAACAGTTACTATATCTATTTTATTATTTTTAATTTAGTAATAATAGTAGCATTTTATTTTATTTATTGATTTTTTAATTCCAAATCCTACACTCTCTCACGTGGTTTTCTACCCTATTTTGTCTCTTGTTCTTTAAAATTTTCAAAATAAAATAAAATAATCTCTTCAATTCATCTATACCATTTTATAGAAGAGAATCTTTTCCGTAACAAATTATGGGATATGTTTTTCAATTTAGTGGGACCATTTGGACTTTAACAACTTTTGGATTTACTCCATCCCCATAACGTTTTTGACTAAAAGACACCATATTATTGTAATTCTTTGAATGGACACAAAAAGACCATGCACAACACACTCTTTTTGACTCACAAAAGATAACGCACAGCACACACTTTTTTGACTCTGGCCTTTCCTTCACCTTCTTCACTCTAGAAGAGCAGCCATAAACGAGCACATATAGAAAAGACATCCTCCCCACGTCGATCTTCTTCTAAAAAAAACACAAGAGCCACATTAGACCTTCTTCTACAAACAAAGAAGCAGCCCGAAATTACAATAAAAGTTGTCCCAAAAATAAAGCAAAATAGTTGCAAAACCTGTCTTCATTAATGCCAAACTTTCAACTCCAAAACTAAAAAAAGAGCATTGATTCTCCCTCCAACAACCAGCTCGCAAACATCACAAAACCAGCAGGAAAAAGTCACTCTTGGTCGCTAAAAATTGAGTGAAAATAGTTCGGGAAAAGTCTCCGACGAGATCTTGGTTCGAGGTTCCGGCGTGTGGTCAGTTAGGAGTTGACGATAAAGGTCTCATTTTTGTTTCTGGATCTCTTCACTTTGAACGAGATTATGTACCAGTTAGAGATCTTTTCTTATCAATATATTTCAAAACAGTTGCAT